CTTCTTTTCTGAAGAAGGGTCTAGGCCCGAAATGTCAGCCTTCCTGCTCCTCTGATGCTGCTTGGCCTGCTGTGTTCATCCAGCTCTACACCTTGTTATCTCAGATTCTCCAGCATCTGCAGTTCTTACTATCTCTGGAATAATTTTCTGAACTCTGTTTCCCTCCCTTCTTAAACGGGGTGTTATGTTAGCCATTTTCCAGGCTTCTGTGACCGTTCCTGACTCCAGTGATTCCTGAAAGATCACCAGTGCTGCTACAATCACAAGTCAGAATTCAGAAATATAATGGACATGTTTAACTTGTAATTCCAAAATGAGTTCTATTAAGAGGGTTAATATAGCCAAATATATGTAAATAAAAAAAGATGTAAATAAAATGGCTGTCTGGAGAGACAGAACACCATGGAATGTCACTCCTAAAGATGTAAAGGGAACTCCAAACAACAACTCTTCAAAGAGTTCGTGGGATGGGGCCAAGGAATGGAAGAGGCAAGTCAAAACAGTGTGATCAGTGTGTGGACTGTGATCTCTTCTAACTGCAAAGATATCAAGGATGCGTTGACAACCTCAACTCCCAACTCTTGCAGAACTCTAAATTGAGTGATTTATTTACCTTCAGACCTTTCAGCTTCCCCAGCACCTTCTCCTTCATGATGGCTACTAAACTCACCTTTGTTCTCGACTGTCTTGTGAAGTACCTATCGAGTTCCACCACCATTTCTTTGTTCCCTGTTGCTACTTATAAAATTATGAGATCAAAGCCTAAAACATGTGTTCGGCCCTATGCATCTGCAAATATAGAGACCCTTTTGCTGAAATTAATTTCTCACTGATCACTGCATCTGCAATGTGGAGAGTATTTTCACTTGTCTGGCCGCAAATCCATTGGCTGTTAATTCTTTAAGACATGAGTAGCTTTCTTTGGAAAGCTAAACTTTTTTTTTGCTGAACTTATTATGTGCTTGGATGTCTGCAATAACTAAACTCTTACATTCCTATGACTAGCAATCTTACATGGGCACTACATCTGGTCTCTGCAGTATTCCAGTAGTAAATAGAAGCTGGCAGACCAACTTTTATGTGGTTCTGCACTGGCCAGAATCTTTTTTGTTTCATCAGGTTAGCTGTGGATTTGGATTAAGAAGAATTTCAGAAAAACAATTAGGTCGGTGGCCAAATGCTTTCCCACCTCTGAACAGTCTTCTTGGACGTGGGTAGTCAATCTGCAGAATTGTGGTTATTTGTGGGTTTATTTGGGGCTAGCAATGGCATTTTCTTAGCAGCAATTGAGGCCCAAATTGAGGACAAAGCCTTGCAGATGCCCAGATGTGATTTGCTAGCAGCTGGCCTAGATGTCCTTGAGGCCTCCTCTTAATATGCTCCCATAACTAAAGATGTGGCTAAAGTAGGTCATAACTGCTGCAGCAAGCCATCTGTTTGGAGGGATTCCTCAATAGGGGTAGCGTCACAGTGTGACCACCATTTCAAACCTCTTCAGATGGTGCCTTAGGATGGATTTGGCCTCAGGCCCCCTCTTTGTACTGTATCAATTTTAAAACAAAAATATTCATTTGTGGGATGTGAGGCATTGCTGGCTAACTAGCATTTATTGCCTGTCCCTAGTTGCCCTTCAGAAGGTGGTGGTGAGCTGCCTTCTTGAAGAACCAGTCCACCTGCTGTGTGTTGACCCACAATGCCATTAGGGAGGGAGTTGCAGGATTTTGACCCAGCAACAGTGAAGGAACGGCACTATATTTCCAAGTCAGGATGGTGAGTGGCTTGGAGAGGAACTTGAAGGTGGTGATTTTCTCATATATCTGCTGCCTTCGTCCTTCTAGATGGAAATGGCAATAGGTTTAGAAGGCACTATCTGAGGATCTTTGAATTTCTGCTCCAGTCTGTTCACTCTCTTTACATAATTCTGGAAATGCATTAGAAACAAAAAGGTTGAAATTATTTTGCTGTGAAATTTCTTAATTGTTAATAAGTCTATGTGTTGTAATTTGGTTTTGTAACTTTTTTTAGTGAAAACTCTATAATAGCCATTCAGTAATCACATTCCTTTGGTTAGAACAAGGTTTACTTTAAGTGCTGAATAAACTTGCAATTTAACTTAAAAAAATGTTGAGCTGCTCCTTATCAATTATGTTTTCTATTATCCAGCTAACTGATTAATTAAGAAATTATTATTAAAGTTGAGGAGCATTCAAAGCTGCTTTTTCAACAATTTTGTCTCTTTTTGCAGTTCGCAGCCAAGTACTACCTACAGGTTCAGAAGGATTGCAGAATGTCTACACATTCCCAGCATATCTTCCTGTGAACTACAAGCTCTCAAATGTACAGCTAGCCTTCTTCCTGAATAAGGACAAACCAAGCACACATTGGAACAGCACCAAGTCACTCCAACGCTTGGAACACTTTGTCGTATTTCAGACGAAAGAACTTCCAGTGGTGAATGCTACTTTAGGACCTTTCTCCATGGATCGCATTCTCCCAAAAGATATACTTCAGCCCACAAGTACATTGGAAGTACTGGACAGATTCACCATGAATTGGAAGGTCAGAGCCTTTATTATCCAACAAAGAGTTCCTTTTAACCAGCCACTTGTTCAAGTACTATTTTATGTGGCAGGTCGAGATTGGGATGACTTTGACGTTGTAGACAAGTTACCATGTGCTAGACTTCATATTTTCCGAGATGTCAGGGATATTGAAAGCTCCTGCAGACTGAGAGGAATCTTGGCCATTTGCCTGGTCCAAGTTGAATTGCCCTTTGCCTGGTTTAGTTCTGGCACCACAACTCTGGGAAGAAAGAAATCAATGGATAATCTGGATACAATCAGTGAAAATCTTCAAGTTGAACTTTATTACACCTTGCATCCTCCGGATAGAAATGGGGAATGCAATGCTGGCAGTGATGCATCTTATCGTAAAGGGAAAAATGTCAGGCAAGGTGGATCTCCCCAGCAGCCTCTGCTACGTATAGGGAGTATTAATTTATACCAGCCTTCCCAAGCACAGTTAATTCAGGAACACAGATTTGATGGAAATATTTTCATTCGTTTGCCAGAAGGACCACTAAAATCTGGGGAAATCCTTAGTATCTCTGTGTTTCTAACACCAAATTCAACAGTGGAGCAATTCATTCTGAGGTATGACAGATTTCTTTGTTTTACTTGAAAAGAGTACTAAGCTTTAGCTTGCAGTATGATTTTAAAAACACTATGTTGTATATAATAATTAAACTTATGAAAATTACTTGAATTTATTGAAACTTCTACTGGTTATGTCAAAACAAACAGATTACTTTACTTTTCTGTAATGTTCTGTCTGCCAAACGTACTTCCAAAATTCACTGCCAGACGCTCTTTCTGATATATCATCTGTAATATTATAGACCTATATATTGCCTATTTCTGTCTTCTCATGTATGCAATGAACTAGGATGCTGACCATTCTCTATTAATGGAAAAGGAGAAAATGAGTCTCTTTCTGGTTAATTTTAAAACTTTTTGTGAGTATGCATCAGTTCTTTCAGGGATACAGTAGCTCATGAAATTCTCATGGATGTGGATCTTTGCTGTGTGGCATCTTTATCACTCAATAGGAGGAGAATATATTTTGTATTTTCCATGTCATGAAATCTCTAGCAGAAGAAAGTACTTGTACCTGTCCCCGCAAGGTACTTTAGGCATCCAAATATAAAATTATCAATTAACAGGTGTCGGTGGTGGTGGGGGGGTGAGGGGGTGGTGGGAATCAAACCCAGTTGGAATTTCAAAGTTAGCATTTGATTCTCACCAAGCACTTTATGACTGGTTCAGGAAATGGGGCATATCTCAATTTAATGCGCTGCAGGTCTGCCTTTTTGTTGCCTCCCTTAATTTTGTACTTCATGAAGTTTTAAATTTTTAGCAAAGCAGGCGAGTTTCTGAAACATGTCAGATCAGAGGGTTCATGAGCTGTAGGGTAGCTTGGTTTGTGGATCTTTTGACAAGTAGTTTTAAATGTTTGTCTAAATTGCAGATTATAATTTGATGGTGTTTCAATTATATATTAATTCTGTAAATGATAGGGCTTTGTTATTAAAAAGTAAATGACTGTTAAATGAGCCAGCATTGTGAAAGTATTAAGATGAATAAAGTGTTCTCCATGCAACAAGATTGAAATGTGATTTGGACACTGTACTTTCATCTTACATTGCTTTAGAATTCAGCAATCCCTTCAGCCTTTTGAAACAGTGGAGTAGTTGATATTTGTTTCACTATCTCAAAAGGTTTTAATATATTCAGACATGAAGATGTTGTACGTACAGTTGAGCAAAAGAATGCCATTATGAATATTTAACTGAGTTCCAAACCCACTAATGAATTTGGCTTCGTAGGAGCTATAGCAGTCAAGGGAACTTTGAGCTTCTTTATAATTGAGGGCTCTAAGAGCAGCTAATAGAGTGACAGCCCTTGACATTAAGGCCACACTCGGTTGGCATCAAGGAGCCCCAACAAAACTGAATCAATGGGTATCAGGGGACAAATTTTCTACCGGTTGGAATCTTACTTGGCACATAGGAAAAATGGTCATGGTTGATGGAGGTCAGTCATCAAGTGGGCATGTTTGCTGATGATTGCAGAATGTTCAGCACCATTCGCAACTCCTCAGTTATTGAAGCAGTCCATGTTCAAATGCAACAAGATCCGAACAATATCCAGACTTGGGCTGACAAGTGGCAAGTAATATTCATGCTTTCGCAAATGCCAGGCTATGGTCGTTACCTATAAGAAACAATCCTAACCAACACTCCTAGACATTCAATAGTATTACCACCAATGAATCCCCCACTATCAACATTCTTAGGGTTACCATTGACCAGCAACTCAACTGGACTCACCACATAAACGCAGTGGCTACAAGTACAGGTCAGGGGCCAGCAATACTGTGGTGAGCAACCCACCCCTTGACTCTCCAAAGCTTGCCCACCATCAACAAGGCATAAATCAGGAATATAGTGGAATACCCCCCATTTGCCTGGATGGCTGGAGCACCAACAGCATTGGAAGCTTGATACCATCCAGGAGAAAGTAGCAGCAGTGTGTATGATCTATAGTACAAGATCCTTGGTCAGCACCTTCCAAGCTCGTGACCAATTCCATCTAGAAGTACAAGAGCAGCAGATACATGGTAAAACCACCACCTACAATTTCTCTTCAAGCCACTGACGATCCTGACTTGGAAATGTATCACTGTTCCTTCAGTATTGCTAGGTCAAACTTTGGAATTCCTTTCCTAAGGGCATTGTGGGTCAATCTATAGAATGTGACCTGCAGTGGTTCAAGAAGGCAGCTCACCACCACCTCCTCAAGGGCAGCTGCAGACAGACAATAAATGCTGGCCAGTCAGCAATACCCACATCCCATGAATGAATTAAAAAGAAGATTAACGTGTTTTGCAAAGATTTTTGAATGGCTCTTTGCTTATTCTTAGAATTATAAGAGCATTTCAAAGACTTAGTATTGTTAGCATAGAGATCATGAGTTCTGTCCATAGTGGATATTGAGTGTAAGTGTGTAGGAAGGTATGGAGAAAGCATGGGGAATTTGGTTGGGTTTGAAGCATAGAATGCCTAGCACTTAAGTAGGAAATTGGGCTGACTTCCCAGTAAACCGAGAAAGCTCTTCTAGCCCATTCAATGCTGTCCTAGCCTTGGTCTTGCTTTGGAAGGTGGAGGTCATGATTCTGACTTGCTTTCATTTCCATAGCATGAAAGTATGGTGAGTATTTCAGTAGAATTAGGAAGCAGTAATGCAACATTTGGAAATATCCTGACTTGCCGTTCACATTTTGAAGAGCAAAATCTGACTCCTTTCTTTTGTTCTTTTCTCCATTCTGCCTCCCTTTCACCTACTTAAAACCTATTGTATATTTTAAGTTTTCCAATTTCTAAGGAAAGTCCATTGTTCTGAAACAATAACGCAATCTCAAGCCAAATAGATGCAGTCAAACTGTTGACTATTTCCAGCATTTAATGTTTTTTTAATAATAAAGATTCAGCTGTTCAGGATGAAGGACATTCAAGGAAATTTTAATTAAGATGGCATATGTATGTATGCCATGTTCATAGAGAAAGTGAAGTTGTTGTTTGTTCCATACATGATACATTTAGTGACTACAGAAGAGAGACACTCAGCATTGAAGTAGTAGCATGTGATAGATCTAGCCAGCCCACTTTGATGCCTGGCCATATATGTGTTAGGATATAGGACTATATCACCCATATATCCGTAGTGACAATGCAGTATACTGAGGACTCGGAAGGCTGTGATGGCATCCCAAATTTTAAGAGGCTAATGATAGAATAGCTAAGCATCACTGGCATCCTGTGTCTCTGGTATCACAGCATATTATTAAGGTACGTTAATGAAAACACAGAGAGGCAACAGGGACATTACAACAGTAAAATGCACTTGCTGTAAATGATTCAAAATATAATAAAAGCATTTTGTGATGTGACCTGACAGAAGTTGGATAATATTTTATCGTGGGATCTCGACTGAGGCCATTCGGCCCAATGATTCTGCACTGACTGTCTGATGGCTAAGCAAACCAAGAACCAGCACTCCCCCCACTGTACTCTGATATCCCACATTTACGATGCTAATGCACCTAACCTGCACATCTTCGGACTGTGGAAGGAAACAGGAGCACTCAGCTGAAACCCACGCAGACACGGGGAGAATATACAAACTCCACACAGACAGTCACCCAAAGCTGGAATCAAACCTGTGTCCCTGGTGCTGTGAGACATCAGCGTTAACTACTGAACCACTGTTTTTAAGAGGATGTTGAAAGAGCAGTTCTTTTAATGCTGTCTGATTGGACATTTGTCTTTTTAAATAGACCTCTTTTGAGATATCAGTGAAGGGGAGTAATGGCTCTGATGAAAGATTTGTCTTAGCCAGTTATTTCCAGTTCTTTTCCCTTATCCTTTATAATTTACACATTCCGATCATGATTATCTCCACGACAAGAATATTAATGGGAACACTCATAGATTTGTAGAGATCCACAGCACAGAAAAAGACCCTTTAGCCCAACAAGTCAGCATTGTTCAAAAACAAGCATCTAACCATTCAGATTCCATTTTCCAATACTTGGTCAATAGCCTGTGTGCCTTGGCATCACAAGTACTAGTATATTAATAAATACAACTTAAATGCTATACGGGTTTTTGTCACTACTACCCTTAGAGGCAGTGAGTTTCAGATTTCCACCATCTACTAGGTGAAAGAATTTTTCCTCTCATCTGCTCGAAACCTCCTGCTCCTTACCTTAAATCTGTGCTACCTAGTCATTGATCCCTCTACAAAGGGAACATCTCGATCATGTACCCCCTCAGTTTGCTCATTTCTAAAGAAAACAGCCCTTAATCTATCCAATCTCTCTTTATAACTAAAATTCTGCAGCCCAAGCAACATCCTGTAAATCTCTCTGCACTTTCTCCATTGTGATCACATCTCTCTGATTATGTTGAATACAGAACTGTACACAATACTCTAGATATGGCCTAACCAAGGTTTTATACAATTCCAGCATAACTTCCCTGCTCTTAAACTCTATGCCTTGGCTATTAAACTAAAAGCAGTCCATATACCTTACCTTGACTCTATTTTCTCCCCACTGGTCTAGGTACTCTCCACCTACGTCCGGCCCTCAACTTCCTCCAAGACTTCCAATTCCCTGGACCCCGACACATCATCTTCACTATGGACATCCAGTCCCTATACACTTGCATTCCCCATGCAGATGGCCTAAAAGGCCTCCACTTCTTCCTCTCCCGCAGGCCCAACCAGTCCCCTTCCACCGACGCTCTCATCCACTTAACCGAACTCGTCCTTACCCTCAACAACTTCTCCTTCAACTCCTCCCACTTCCTACAGACTAAGGGGGTGGCCATGAGAACCTGCATGGGCCAAAGCTATGCCTGCCTCTTCATAGGATACATGGAACAGTCCCTATCCTGCAGCTACACTGGCACTATGCTCCACCTCTTCCTCCGCTACATCGAAGACCGTATCACCTCCACCCCGTGCTCCCACGAGGAGCTTGAACAGCTCATCAACTTTACTAACACCTTTCACCTCAACCTCAAGTTCAC